GCCACTACTTTTGGATTTTGCACTTTTGCAGCATCTTGAAGACTATGTTTCTTAGTTGTATTTCATTGTATTTTGTATTTGATGGCTGAGAAACCTTTTGGTCAAGATGTATTTTTGTATCTCATTTTGTTGTATTAAAGCTATGTGAAGATGTATGCCATTCCATTTAACTTATGCACTGCTCTTATGGACTACTTAGCTTTCAATTTATTTCTTCCGCATTTGTAAGCCCCATATGTATACTCTGTTTGTGTGTGAACCCTTGCAAGTTGGCCTTGGGTAATTTCGAATTACTGCCCATCATGGCACCATTCTACTAGGGATGGAATGGGGTCGTGACAGTATTACATGCACTGAGGCTCAGTTCATCATTCTAACTGTATTGTCGTTTTAAATACATTTTTTGAATTCGTGCTTAGACCACATGCTATCGAATTGAATTCATATGCCATATTAGTAGCCTAACCTAGTAATTGCATATTGCGTGTGTTGCATTAGTCATATTATATAAAGTTAAGATCATGCATTTTTCTAACTCTTTTGTTTTTTTTTTTTTTTTTTTTTTTTTAGACTCAAAAATTTTCCTCTCTCTCTACAATTCCCTCTCTATCTTCCTGAAGTCATCGAACTCTTCGATGAAATTCTCTGCTTCATATTGGGCATGAATTCGGAGAGATAAGAGTTGATCCAGATTTTGGATGGTGATCTTAGAATTCTGATGCCAGTAGAGGAGCACTGGGAGTTGGTCCAAAAACAAATAAAGCTCTGTCTGGGCAAGAGGGTTGAGGACATGGCCCCTAGTTAGGATATCACAAGCCCATTGAAAGTTCTTAAGAGGAATGTCATCCTCAAGAACATTGAAGGGCAGGTGGGAGAAAGCCGCGAGCAAAAGTTGAGCTTGCTTTCGCTCGGCTGGAGAAGGGGGTGACGGAGGTTGGTAAGGTGGAAAGACTTTGTCCATGGGAAGGGCAAGTCTTAGTTTCTCTGTCCAGGAGAGGATGGGAGAAGGAGAAGGAGAAGATGGTTCTGCTTCAGAAGACGAAGGGGAAGGAGCAGGTGTTTCTATCTCAGAAGATGCAGATGCAGAAGAAGGTGTGGATGCTTCTATTATGGGAGATGGCACGGGAGCAGATGGAACAAAGGCATTAATGTAGTCAAGCCAATCAGAAGAACAAATCTTCGCCTTTTTGGCTAAAAATGAAGGGGTGTACCCTTGTGCTTCTTCTGGACGCTGGGCAGGGTGCATTATCTTCGTAGGCATGGAAGAAGTATACCAAGCCACAAGCAGATTCTCCTCCAAGCTACGTCGAAGGTCAATGGGCACGTAAGGGTAGACCACTGAGCTTCGAGCGTAGGAGGGAAACTCCAAGGGGTCAGTAAACTCAACAAAATGGTGATTGATTCGCTCCCTTAGATCATAAGTCTCAGGAGTGGACCAGCTTGTCCAGCCAGAAGCTCCAGAGGATGAAGAGGTCACAGTTTCATCCCATGCAGAGGTCTGTGAAGAAGAGTTTCCTAAGTCCATATTTGCAACTTGTCGAAGCAAAGGCTCGAGGGTAGTTCGGTCAGAATACAAAGGGAGCTTAGGGGAAGAACTCTTTGTATCTGTAAGTTTGTAAACCAAGGGATTAAAGGCAATGTGTTCATAGTCCAAAGGTTTATAATCTGCAAAAGCCTCCATTACCTGAATATAGAAGGGTGGGTAAAGGTGGCTAATGAATGCGTGGAGGTTCTTTCGAGGGGGAACAACATCACTCAAAGGCTCTTCATATGCTTGATCAATAGAAAGGGAAGTTGATGCAGCCATAGCCTGTTCGAATACTAAGGTATTGGGATGTTCGACGAGTTAATGCAGATGATCTCCAAATGGATGACGGTTGTGTTTCCAGAATATGGACTCCATACGCGTTCTGGAAGCGCGGGAAAACTGCAATCCACTAATATCATCAAGTATTGGGTATATTAGTGCGGGGGGTAATGTTGGCTACATATTTTGTAAAAGCCAGTTACAGTTCGACACGTGGCATAGTAAGGGTAATAAAGGAAGATTATTCAAGCCTTTAATCCTGATCGTACACGTGGCAATAAATATTGGTCCTCACATGATCTGAGTAACACTAGATCAAATAACGGGATGCAAGATGACGTGTCTTCAACGGTTACTCATATTCAAATCCAGTACAAGAGGGAAGCTCAACTGCCAGTAATGGCGTAATGGAGCTACTTTTAAGGAAGCATGATCAGCGATCATGGAAGAGCAGTTCGACGGATCGAAGTGCAGTTCGAAGGTCATCACTGAAGAGTATAAATAGCAGAGCAGCCCCCAGGAAAAAGGACGGACTCAGATCATACAAACCAGTCATTTACTTCATATATTTTCTTTTCCAGTCATTTACATTTCCAGTCTTTAATTACCTGTTCTTTAAATACCTGTACTTTAAATACCAGCACTGCACTTCGATTCATAGGAGTAGCTTCAAGTAGATTCAAGTAGATTGCTGTTGTAAACCGCTCTGAGGCTGAGTTCGGACCATTGTAAGTGTTCATTTTTATGAAATACTTCAATTGTTCTTCATATTACTGTTTTCTCTTTTAATTTCTCCTAAGTCAAGCCACCAGTAAAAGTCCTCTTCATTGAGGCTGAAAAGAACTAAAACACAATCGTCTGATAATTGGTTGGCAATCACAATTTCTGTAAGGACTGATTGATCCTTTCTGGCACGCTCACATTCACAAAAATACCCTTCGAAAAGCCAAAAAGCCAACAGTTATACATATTTTGTTTATAAAATATATATTAAAATCAAATGTTACCTTGCACATGATTAGAAATGTTTAATCTACATTATATTATCTTAATGATACATATGTACATCATTAGAGAAAATATTAATTGCATAATATAACTTTTTTCTTAATTTGTATATGTATTGCATGTGTTTCGGCCGCTAGTATTTATATATCTAAACCATCTAATTCAATTTTAAATTAAAATTATAATTATAAAATCGAATTGTGAAACATGATTTATTTATTTTAACAATTAAAATAGAATCATAATAAGATTTATTTATTTTAACAATTAAAGAAAATCAAATCTAATATTTTGTTTTATTTTGTTTTTTTATCAATCAAATTTTTGAATCGGACCAATTTTTGGATTTTCGGGTTTTTTAAAATCAGTCCTACTACTATCGAGGCTTACTGCATGTTACAGATTGACACGTGTCAGCTTGAGAGGCGAGTGTGCAGATAGCATCCGCATCAGTTGATTTTCTGCCAACGCAACATATAATAGCAGCCTTTCCACACAACCATGGCCTACTTCGTCAAGTACGCATAATCATTATACTCGCTCTCTAATTCTGCCACCTTTCATCCCAAGTTAAACTTACTTGGCCCACTAGTCCAACATGAACGGTGTCAATAAGAACCAGCGAGTAAATATGCTTTCCATACACGCGAGAGTAAGAAAATCAGAAGAAAAGTGCGACAGAAGGGATTATATGAGTGTGAGAAGCCAAAACGGCCGAGTAGTGGAGACGAGCGTCGATTAATACGGCCCACGCCCGATTTCTCATTGGCAAGTGGTCTCGTGACTACGGTCCATGTTATATAGAGGGGTAAATTACACTTTTGTCCCTTCTATATTAATTCTTATTCTTATTCTTTTTATTTTTTTATACTTTGGCCGTTAAACTTTATTTTTCTCATTTTAGTCTTTACGTTCTAATTTTTTTAGCAGGTTAGGTTTCTCTCATATTGAGATTTCGATATAATAGAACTTGAAGGGTTCATAAGACTTCTCACAAGTCTCATTTTAATGACTTAAACCGGTTATTTTATAAAACCCTCAATATATATTATTTATGAAAAAATTTAGGATGTTTCAATAATCGTAGCTTTTTTATGTTATTACATTTATCTGAAAAAAGTTATAATTATTGAATCGAACTATTTTTTTTAATAAATAATATACACTGAGAGTCATACAAAATAAAGGATTCATATCATTAAAATGGAATCCGTGGTAGACTTTATAGGCTTCCAAAATTCTCTCATGCTGAGATCTTAATATGAGATAAGCTCTATCATTTTTTATTTACTCCAACAAACTAACTTATGTTTAAAATTGAGAGATTTATTAGAAAATCTTTTTTTAAGTGTTTGTATTCCAATTAATTTATAAGATATTCTTGTATTCCAATAAATCTTATTATTTGAACATTTGATTTACTAAATCCTAATTCTCATATTTAAAGTATTTTATAGATATTTCTACCCTTACAAATATTTTTTGAACGATTAGGAATTTGGTGATGTGAACATTCATATTTTACATTGTGAATATTCACATTGATGTGTAAATGTTTACACTGATAGTGTGAACATTCACATTGATATGTTAACATTTACATTGATGATGTGAACATTCACATTGACGGTGCGAACATTCACATTACGGAATATTCACACTATAAATATGAATATTATTAGGGATATTTTGGTAACTATGTCACTTATAAGACTTATTGGAATATAAAATTATAATGTGGACCAAATGAAATATAAATAGGTGAAAAGAGATTTACGAAAAAATATCCCTTTAAAATTAGACAGAAAATAATATATTGACAATTAGGTAATATAAAAATATTTTATTATTTGACACAAACTCAAACTCAAACATAATTTTTTTTAATATGTTAGGTAACAATTAACTTGATATTTTCTTTCTAATTTAAAAAAAAAATTATTTGTAAAAAAAATTATTTTTTAAAAATATATAAAGTTAAAGTAAAAAAAAAAAAAATTAAAGGCCAAAATAAAAATATCAAATATCAAGGGTAGAAAGTGTAATTTACCTATAGCGAGAGAAAACTCGTAACGTCATTTTGATATCAAACACCTCATCTTTCTCTCTCTACCATTCTCTCTCTCTCTCGCTCTCTCTCTCTCAACAACATCCCGCTTTGGACCCTTGAAATTCCCCCCTCTCTCTCTCTCTCTCTCTCTCTAAACAACATCCCGCTTTGGACCCTTGAAATTCCCCCCTTGTTTCTCTCTCCAAAATCAAATACTACACTACTCTCACTCACTTCTTTCTCTCTCTAGAAATGGCGGACTTTCCTCCAAATTTGGACGATGGAGAGCTATGGCTTCCTTCTGATATCTTCCCTCTCGAGGAAATCCCTTCCAAATTTACCAGACCATACTACCCCTCCGACCTCGCTCGTCGCTTCGCTGCCTTGGCCTTCCTTGATCGTCACCGAAACCAAACCCAGGTACCCATCTCTCTCTGTCGTGTTTTTAAGCTTTTTTCATGGCGGTCTGATTTTCGTTTTTTGTGTGTTTTTAGCGGTTCGGACCGGTTCGGTACGATTCGATGGGTTCTTTGCCGACCGGGTATCTTACCATCGATGGAGGTTTTGGGGTTGGTAATGGACTTGGTTTTCATGGGTTGAACCTGTGGGTGGGTTCTAGACCCGTTTATTACCCACATCAGATTATAAACCTTGTACAACCTCAGGTAAAAACCACTGTCTTTTTTTTTCTTTGTTTTGTTTTGTTTTGTTTGTAGTACTGGGTTTGTCTCTTTCATGGTTTGTGCGTTTTCAGCTTTTGTTAATGCTGATGGGTGGTATTTTTTGTTTGGCAGGTTGAGAGCTTTATGGAAACAAGGGCTAGGGTTTTGCAGAGAGAACAGAAGCGGCTTTTGCAGAACCGGGTGTTGGAAAACCGGCAGAGAACCGTGCTTGGCATGCGCGGCGGCGGCGGTTTTGTGAGAGAGTACGGCGGAACTGGTGTGTTTCTTCCACGCGCTGCCGTCTCCGCCACTGCCACCAATAGGAATATAAGGAAAATCGAAAAAATCGATTAAACCGATCGAATCGGTCATATTTGGTCGATTTTTTAATCTGAATCGGTCTGATTGATTTTGAAAATTAATTTTTTTCAATTTTCGATTCGGTGCCGGTTTTGATACACTATACACCGATTTGCACCGAAACCGACCGAATATATTTACATATAATATATATTAAATATATAATGAATATTTTTACTCTATTTGATAGACTTGTGGTTTAGACTTATGGGATGATTGTTTTAAGTTTTGGGTTTGTTTTGATGTCTAAGACTTTGGTTCTGAGATTATGCCTTCGTTTGGGAAGTGGGTTGGCTTTTTGGCTTTTTGGCTTTTTTGGCTATTTTAGCCTGGGCTTAAAAGCTTGGTTTGGGAAGGGCTTTTTGGCTTTTTGGCTTTTTTGAGTTTTTTTGTGAGAGAAGAATGTAATGATTATGGGTTGGATGTGATGTTTTGTTTGTTATGGCTAAAATAGCCTATTTTGTTTTTTGTGGCTAAAATAGCTAAAAAAGCCTCCAACCCACCTTCCCAAACGGTGCCTATATTTTGTTTTCAATTCTAATCCAGTAAAAGCTTCAAGAGTTTGTATTTATTAATTTTTTTATTTGTATATTTGTGAATGGTTAGATTAAATATGGTTAAAATTGTGTACAAACGGCTAATTTAATATTTTTATATAAATTATTTATTATATTTCAAATTTAAGAAATGATTTAATTTTGAAAGTATTTAAACCGATTAAACCGTATTGAACTGAACCGTTTGAATCGGTGTGATTTGGTGCGGTTTGATAAAAAACTTTGGTTTGTATTGATTTTCAATATAATAAAACCGACATTATCGATTCGGTATAAAATTTCATCCAAATACCAACCGTCCCGAACCGATTATATCTCTAACCACCACGGCGGATGGTAGAAGGCGACAGAGTAAGTAATGCATTTTTCATCAACTCTTTTCATTTCCTACGTTCCTGAGTAATTTTTTTTTTTATTTTTTTTGAAGAAATTAGTTACATTGCTGAGTGTGTATGTAGTACTGTTTGGTTAATATACTTAATGCTACTATTTGGTTTGGTTTGGTTTTAGTTTAGTTTAAATTATGAGATTTCAAAATTTTGCTCATTCAATATATTTTCATGCATATATATATATATATATATATATATATTTATGGTAAATTATCATTTTGCCCCTTTTATGTTTGGTGTTTTTCTCACTTTGGGTTTGTTTATTTCCATTTTGGGCCATTTTGTTTCAATTTTTTTTTTTCATTTTACTCTTAAAATTAATTTTTATTCAAAATTAAACAAAAAAATATCATATAACATAAAAAATATATTATATTGAGGTTTGCATTTGTATAGGTGATGTTTGGCAAGTGTGTATAATGAATTATATATAATAAAATATTTATATGATGCGTGACTATTAATATATCATTTTTTATATAATTTTAAACATAAATTAATTTTAGACATAAATTAAGAAAAACTTAAATATGAATGGCTAAATTTAAAAAAATACTGGTTTCTAGGATGGCCATTGAAGAAAAGGTCCAACAATTGATCAACGATGCCACTGGGGTCCCTCGGCTTGGGCTACTACCATACCAATGGTGGTCCGAGGCTCTGAACAGAGTGGCAAGAATGGGGCTGGGCGTCAACTTCAATGCCACCATGCCCGATGCCCCTAGCTTTCCAGCAGTCATTCTCTTGGCCGCTAGTTTCAATAGGTCACTCTGGCTCGAGATGGGCAGGGTGATGTCAACCGAGGCTAGAGCCATACACAATGTGTCTACGTCAACGTGTTTCGAGATCCAAGGTGGGGTCGGGAACGAGAGACTGCTGGTGAGGACCCTTTTGTATTTGTAGAATATGCTGTAAACTATGCGCGAGGACTCCTGGAGGTTAGCCAAGATGGAAACTTCAGTGTCGTAAGGCTGAAAGTGGTGGCCTGTTGTAAGCAGCACTACACCGCATATGATAGTGGACAGATTCCACTTCGATGCCAAGGCGTAACCAAAACATTTTTTTGTTAACCCATCTCCAACGCTTCATCAAACCTGACATCAAATTTAAAATTTGTTGAAAAAAACACTTTTTCATGCTCACCAAACTGGTATCAAATTGAGAATTCATCAAACAAATCATCAAAGTGAGGACAGAATACAGATTTCAGCAAATCACTGTGTGTGACCGTTGGAGGGAGGAACCGGTCAACCAGCCGGTCGACCACTAAAAGGTTCAAACAGTTCAAATATATGGGTTCAAATAATTCAAAAAAAAAAATTGCCTTATCGGTCGACCACTAAAAGGTTCAAACAGTTCAAATTTATTGGTTCAAACAATTCAAAAAAATAAAAATAAAAATTTTTTCTCTTGCCGGTCGACCAACCGGTTGTCCCCAGAGTAGATTTGATGAAAATGAACCATTGGAGCAACTGATATTAAATTGAGAAAATGAGTCATTTTTTATTCAAATTTGGTGAAAAAAGAAATTCACTGTTGGAGATACTCTTAGTGGTTAGTTGCAACAACGAAACATTTTTTCTTAAGGAGACATTTAGGGCATGTTGCTGTTTTTAATTTTTAATTTATATTTATAACTTTTTTTAAAATTATCATAAAAAAAATAGTTGTTTCAATTTGTAAATTTAAAGAAAAAACAAAAAATGAACTTACGTTTGTTTTTAAACAGAAATTTAAAAATTTGACTAACAAATTTTTTTTTCAAATAATTTTTTTTTCAATTATAATTTGTATAATTCTATTAGTACAAAATAATAAAAAAACCAATAATGATTTATCCTCTAATTTAAGTCAGCTTAATGAGGTGAAATTAAAATATATAAAAAAAAAAAAACTTCATAAACGGGGGCCGCTATCCCTTAGAGCTCATTTAGAGCTCATAATTTAGAACTTCCAAATATTTTTTAATAAAAAATAAATATAAATATTTTATGCATGAACAAATATATTTTTTAAAAATTTTTCAAACATTTTTTTTTAAACCAAATGTTTTTTTAGTTTATGTTTTTCTTTTTAAATAAATAAAAATTAATTTATAAAATTTTTATTAAAAAAGAAAAGGGTAAATATTACCCAACGCTACCTTAGTAGTTTGGTTTATCGCATGTAACATTGCAAGACATGGAGGACACGTATCAGCTACCTTTCAACAGCTACTTAGAGGAGGGCCACGTCACCAGCATTACCAGTTCTTATAACCGCGTCAATGGAGTCGCCATTTGTGCTGATCCGAACCTTTTTAATGCTGTGTTTGGTTGAGAGATTTAGGGAGAAATTTGAAAAAAAAAAAAAAAAAATTATGTAAAATTATGTAAAATATAGACATGATTTATTCACATTTTACATAACTTTTCTATTTCTCTTTCTAAATTCCTTCCTAAATTTCCTAACTAAACAGAGCATAATGGCATAATCAGGACCAATGGGGTCTTGATGGGTTTGTTCTCCTCACTTGTCATTTCGATTCTGCCTTTTGCTTTTTATTTTTTTTATTTTTTATTTTTACTGTACATGCTCAATCATATTTGAGGCACGGAAGAGACAGCGGAGGGCCATGGCGCTCCTGCTCAGTTGAACATTACTGTTAGCTTGAGCCCCCACCCGGGCGGCGGCGGCGGCAAACCACACATTGAACATCTATGAACTCTCTTTTCTATCTCAAAATCAAAGAACTCTTTGCTTGTTTTTATCCTTTATTTATTAGTTGGACGTAGGTCAAGTTTGACAACTTAAAAAAAAAGTTAAAAAGTCAAAAGGTTATTCAAAAAGTTATCACTATTCATCAAAAGTCAAAAATTGCGGCTGTACAACTCCCAATTCTAATTTTCTCCTACACACTAATTTATACAATTTTTTAATACACATTTTTTTCATAAAAAGTCAAAAAATTAATCCAAATATCTATTTTTTTTCTCAATTTTTTAGTCCAAAAAGATAAAAAGTGCATTTATTTAGGACACTCCAAACATTCCCTTAGAATAATAATGTGATAAAATATTTTTTATAGGGCGAATTACACTAACAGTCTCTATAATTTGAGAGTTGTGTTATTTTAGTTCATGACTTTTCAACTGTGATACATTTGATCGTAAATTTTGAACTTTGTCCCAAATAAAGACAATTGAAGATACTATTACTTAATTTCAAGAATAAAATCGTCAATTTAATAAAATATAAATTAATTCGACAAAAATAAATGTCAAAAAAATATTTTTGAATTTTTAAAATTTATTTCTACTTACTAAAGATAAAATTATGTAAAATTGATAAATCTTTTAAATATTTATTTATTTATATCTTGTTTCCATATCTCTCTCTATCCTCTCCTCATATCTCAGATCTCTCATATCTCCTTTCCTCATATCTCTCTCTCTCTCTCAAGTCCCACCGTTTGAAGCCACATCGTCATAGTCCACTCCGCCGTTACCATCTCACTAGGATCCATCAATGACGTTGGAGGGCAATCTCGGAGTTCGTGAGAGGAAATGCTGGATTCAATCTGGTGAAGGGACAAGGAAGACTGGCCACCAAACCGCCACGGCCACCGCCATAAGGATGTTTGAGAAGTCTCTCTCTCTCTCTCTCTCTCTCTCCTCTCTTCATTTTCTTCTTCATCTTCATCTTCATCTTTGAACCACCACTATTGTCGCCTTTCACTCCAGTGTCACCGATGATCGGTGGCGATTTTCTGATGATACTCAAGTAGATCTGAAATCGCGAACAGTCATATCCCAAATCGTCTCACTTCGGCTAGCTCAGTCCTCACCCACTCTCTCTCACTGGAGCCGTTGTCCCGAAGATTCAAATATATACGTATATATTAGATCCACCAACTATGTGTATATATATGTATATATTTGTGAATGAATTTGTATATATACACATATATATTATTCCAGCACCAACTGTGTATATTTACGTATATATATCAGTGAGTGTATTTTTATATATATAATACATATTAGGGGATATATATACAAATTGAAAACACTTTGTAATGTATGTCAGGGTATATATTTACAAATTGAAGGCACTTTTTAATATATATTAGGGTATATATATACAAATTGAAAACACTTTGTAATATATGTTAGGGTATATATATAAATAGATCTGTGTATGTATATATATTTGTGTACTGTGTATAGAATATATATATACGTAGTTCAACCCATTACACTATATGTAACCATATATATTATTACAGTGATGATTTTTAGATGGCATATATAAGAGATAAAGCACTTCCTTCCCATAGATGAAGATGAGGTTGAAAGCTTCGCGTCACTAGGAATCCTAGACAAAAGAGGGTTCTAGTTTGGATAAGGATAAAGCTTTTAGAGAGTTTATCCCTATCTAGCTGAGAGTCCGAGATGAGCATTGAGCCTAGGTCCACTGAAGTGAGGCTTCTAAACGGATCAGGTCACTGCTGGTTAGAAAGGCAAAGCACCCTCGTGGGTCTGGGGTAAGTTATTTCTTGTGAGTTTTGAGTACTATTTGATATCTTTGAGAGATTACTAACTTGATTGTCGGAGTGTCCCTGGGTGGCGAACCACTGCGGTATTCTCATCTTTTTGTTATAGGTTGTTAGGCTTAATCTACTCTACTAGTACTCTCCAGCTGAGTTTTCCTTTTGATTGTGTGGTCAAAAATCAACACCCATAATTTGGCGCCGTCTGTGGAAACTTAAGAAGAATAGATGGCCAACAACAGGTAGGAAGAAAAAATTAGAGACAACATCCACAGTAAAAGTGAGGAGCATATGGATCCTAATGCAAAGGAAGAAAATTGAAACGAAGGAGTAAAGAGGGGACCTCGCTACAGCTCGGACTCGACTTTTGCAGTCATCCATGAGTTGGGTTATGCCTTTTCTTAACTCCTTGGACTTGAGCTGAACAAGTATTACTTACATTGTTTAGCCTATTATGTATATCCCCCATTTGGGGCCCTTCTAGCACTACTTCTAAGTTTATACCAGGCCTCCTCTCATCTTGCCCATTCAGACTTTTGACAAACCGTGGAGTAAAAATATTATCTTTAACATTGTCAACCCTACTAACTCTCTCTCTCTCTCTGTGTGTGTGTGTGTGTGTGTGTGTGTGTGTGTGTGTTCTCGTATTCACAACAAGTATGCAATCTATAGCCCTATCCTTGCCTTCGCCTTTTGGGTTTTCGATACTCTTACCCCGATCATTTATGCTTGGGACTAAAACCCAGTTGTCACAACCATCAATTCCCTCACCATATTTATTATCAATCCTTTGTAGAATCTCCTTGTTATTACTTGCCACCTTAACCCACTCTCCATCCTCCACACCAGTCTTTGCACATGCCTCTTCATCAAACTCTCTTCCACCTTCACCAAACTGAAATAACTCTAATGAATGCACTGTTTAACATATGTAGTAATAACTCTAATGATATTCTGATGAAACTCAAGTAGATCTGATGATGCTTTATGGGCGATTTTCTGATGATACTCAAGTAGATATGAAATCGCGAAAATCCATATCCTAGATCACCTCACTCCAACTATCTCACTCCTCACCCACTCTCTCTTGTCGGAGACGCCCTCCCGAAGATCAGAATATATACGTATATATCAGATCCACCATGTGTCTATATTATATATTAATGAATGAATCTGTGTGTATATATATATATATATTATTCCGGCACCAACTGTGTGTAAGTGTATATATCAGTGAGTAAATTTGTGTATATATATTTCGGCACCAACAGTGTATATATACGTGTATATATCAGTGAGTTAATTTGTATGTATATACATATATATTAGGGTATATATATACAAATTGAAAACACATTATAATATATGTTAGGATATATATAAATAGATCTGTGTATATATATATATATATCTATGTGTACTGTGTATAGTGTATATATACGTAGTTCAACCCATTGCACTATATGTAACCACATATATTATTATAGTAGTTATTTTTAGATGACACATATGAAAGACAAAGCACTTCATTTCCAAAGATGAAGATGAGGTTGAAAGCTTCGCATCACTACTAATCATAAACTGATGCATTGCTTGTTGTTCGTGGGAACAACCAACCAAAAGGTGATATTACCTAAGTATTAGCCTCATTATCCCAATCCAATCCAATCCACAATGCTTAGTTGTTTGCATATATCCAATTTCGCAGTCATTTTCTCAGTCTCCTCAATGTTCAGTTGGATTCTTTCAAATGCCACTAGTTGCCTTTTAGGTGTCCCAATCAACTTCTTATGTGCATTTGCTGCCTCCCAGAATACCAGTACAACACGAGTTCCATCCTTTGGCCCATAATTTCTTAATCCAATCACCACGTCCAAGTATAAGTTATGGCATTCGAAACTAGAAATGTCGATGGAGTTGAATGAGACTATCACATTTGTGTTGTCCCTAGGCCTCACAAGCACAGTGGAGGGGACAAACATGATGAACTTTGAAAAAACTAAGTAGCTGAGTCAATGACCAAATTCGTACATAAATTTTCTTGAGTAGAATCGATAAGTTCTACCTAGATAATTTCTTGTGGAATCTTCCCTTAAGTTCATGTCTGTCATGGGTACTTGATCAACATAACTTTGGGGATACCAACTAAAAAGGGACCTCCCACCTAACAATAGAAACAAAGTATTACTATAGGATTATGATATATAGAAATATATATGTAGCTGACCACATAGGTGAGAGTGATGATGACCCTATATTGAATTTTTCAAAAATTACTTGGGCAGTGGCGTCGTCTCCAGCTTGTCTAGGATAACTCACCCACAAGATCTCTCCAACCTTGGTATTATTAGCAAACGAAAGATCAACAAGACCACTAGACAGAACAAGAACTAATGGCCCCTTAGCCGCCTTGGTCGCTTCAATCACTAGCAATTCTTGGTACCCTGGCAATGTTAGGTTCAACCGGTCTATCATCTCTGCCTCAAATGATTGACTAAGTCCAACAACTACGATCACTGCATTAGCTACAGCTACTACCTCAGTTGTTGCTTTGAGTTGGTTATTGTTACTACATGCCACATCACTGCACCCTAGTTCATAACTAACTTTGGAGACAAACTTTTCTAGTCCTTGAAAAGGACTTGTATATTTGAATGGTATCCTGGCGTAGATACTAATCATAACACTGTAGCATTTACATTGGGTTCTAGGACAGTAATATGCTTTGTGGTAGTTGGGGACAAAGGAAGTTGTCCATTGTTTTCAAGTAGAACAATGCCCTATTTTGCTGCTTCAAGAGTGAGAAATTGATGCTCATCTGTACAAACATTCATTGGCCTTAATTTCTCAAATGGAAGTGAAGTCTGTTCACCATCAAAAAATCCAAGCTGCATGAGGACCATAAAATTGGATAGCAAAGCTTGGTCAACAATAAATTCTTTGACCATGTTCAATCTGATTGCACATTTTGTGTACTTTCCCAAATGGCGCCCACAATTCATGTTTAAGCATGCATTCAATGCAAGGGCTTCTACTTCCTTAGGCTATGTGGCATAATGGATATCGTCATAATATACTTTAACGGAATTACAGTCTGATACAATATATCTGTGTCACAGCAAAAAGGTAATTAGTAGTGCCCTATTTGACAAGAACAAAACCAAAATCATGATGTGACCTTTTTCATGATTCAAAATGCAATTGAAATCCATGCAAAATAATGTAGTTAGGTAGTGAAAATAAATGATCAAACACAAGTTGAGTTGTGCTATGCTGTACTGTGCTGTGCTGTGTTGTGCCTAGGGATAAACTAGCAAAAATGCTAGAGGCCCCAAAAATTCTACCAAAAGTTTTACCAAATGTCTTACATGGGTGTGGGACCCTCATGGGACCCACATTGTGTGGGTCCCACACCCATGTGAGACATTTGGTAAAACTTTTGGTAGAATATTTGGGGTCTCTAGCATTACTCTAAAACTAAACTTTTGAGGGAGGGGGGCCATTAAATAGAGGTATGGATTTACAGTGGTGATATAGTATTGTAAAACACTGGTATTTTCCATGATTACATTACATCACCCCGAAAATGCAAAAACACCTTAAAGCAATAATGTAAATCTCTACCAATGAAAACGACCGGAATTACAAACTAAGAACGAAACTCCCTAATCACATCTTTTATTATTTCGCCTCTTCAATGCAAGATATGAAATCGTTGACCAAATACTCCTTTAGCCCTCTAAAATGACCTTACCTAACAAATAATACATACCAGAATCACATATGCAATGTTCTTTGATCCGAGACATCTTTGTTGAATATCACATTAGTATAGCTAACCACAGACTCCATAATGTAACAAAAAAAAGAAAACCAACGAAATAAACATGGGAGGCATCCTCCATGATTGAATCACAAAAACATCTATATGAAGATCTCCATGAAAGACAATGTCTTCTAATTAAAAGATCACGAGTGGTGATCCTTTTCCTGAATAACTAACCAAGTGAAAGCTTGTACTTCAAGAGGAATGAAAAAATTTCAAGCTAACCTACTCAAACGCAAAATGTATGTTTCAGAAAAGTTATGAATCATTTTAATTTTATCAGGAATGAATATAGTAAAATTACAAAAAGTATTCTTTCTTGTAGGATATATATTACAGCCTTTCTCTAACAATGATTTTTAAAAATATATAACTAACTCTACATTGTCCATTAACTAGAAATCTCTCTTCTTCCTTCACCAAATTGAAATAACTCTAATGAATGCACTATTTGACATATGCAGTAATAACTCTAATGATATTCTGATGATATTCAAGTAGATCTGATGATGCTTTATGGGCGATTTTTTGATGATATAGATATGAATTCGTGAACATCCATATCCTAGATCGTCTCACTTCGGCTATCTCACTCCCCAACCACTCTCTCTTGTTGGAGCAACCGTCTCGAAGATTTGAATATATACGCATATATTAGATCCACCAACTATGTGTCTATATACGTATATGTCAGTAAATGAATTTGTGTATATATACATATAAATATTATTCCGACACCAACTGCTTATATGTAAGTGAATATATTAGTGAGTGAATTTGTGTATATATACATATATATTAGGGTATATATGTATAGAAATTGAAAACACTTTGTAACATATGTTAGGGTATACATATAGATCTGTGTATATATATGTTTGTGTACTGTGTATAGTGTATATATACGTAGTTTAACCCATTACACTATATGTAACCACATATATTGTTACAGTAATGATTTTTTGATGGCACATATAAGAGATAAAGCATTTCCTTCCCAAAGATGAAGATGAGGCTGAAAGCTTCGTATCACTACCAATCATAAACTGATGCATTGCTTGTTGTTCGTGGGAAGAACCAACCAAGAAATGATGCTGCCTAAGTATCACCCTCCATATCCCAATCCAATCCAAACCACAATGCTTAGTTGTTTGCATATATCCAATTTCATAGTCATTTTCTCAATCTCGTCTATGTTCACTTGGATTCTTTCAAATGCCACTAGTTGCATTTTAGGTGTCCTAGTTAGCATCCCTTGTGTATTTGGTGGCTCCCAAAAGACCATTACAATATAAGTTCCATAATTTGGCCCATCATTTTTTAATCAAATCACTATGTCCAAGTATAAATTATGGCACTCCAATGCAGAAATGTCGATGGAGTTGAATGAAACTATCACATTTGTGTTGTCCCGAGGCCTCACAAGCACAGTGGATGGGGCAAACATGATGAACTTTGAAAAAACTAAGTAGCTGAGTCCATGATCAAAGTTGTACATCAATTTGTTTGAGTAGAACTGATAAGTTCTACTTGGAGAGTTTCTTGGGGAATCTTCCCTTAAGTTCATGTCTATCATGGGCACTTGATTTACATAACTTCGGGGATACCAACTAAAAGGGGACCTCCCACCTGACAATAGAAACAAAGTTTTACTATAGGATTATGATATATAGAAATATATATGTAGCTGACTGTGTGGGTGAGAATGATGATGAACCTGGATTGAATTTTCCAAAAATTACTTGGGCAATGGCATTGCCTCCAGCTTGTCCAGGATAGCCCACCCCCAAGATCCCTCCAACCTTGGTGTCATTAGCAAATGAAAGATCAACAAGACCACTTGACATAACAACAAGAACTAATGGCCCCCTAGCTGCCTTGGCAACTTCAAATACTAGCAATTCTTGGTACCCTAGTGATGTTGGATTGAATCGGTCTAGCATTTCTGTCTCAAATGATTGACTGAGTCCAACAACAACGATCACCCCATTAGCTACAGCAGCTACCTCAGTTGTTGCTTTGAGTTGGCTATTATTACTACATGCCATATCACTGCACTCTGGCTCATAACTAACTTTGGAGACGAACTTTTCTAGTCCTTGCAAAAGACTTGTATACTTGCAAGGTATCTCGACATAGATATTAATCATAACACTATAGCATTGCATTGGGTCCTAGGACACCAATATGCGTTGTGGCAGCTAGGAACAAAGGAAGTTGTCCATCGCTATCAAGTAGAACAATGCCTTATTTTGCTGCTTCAAGAGTGCGAAATTGATGCCCATCAGTACAAACATCTACTGGCCTTCTTGCCTCAGGATCTCTCGACTTGACTGTTTTGTGTTTGGTTTTGCACCAAACACTTGTGTTTTTGCTTTGGAGGGCAGGAAATGGCTTGTTGGCCATCCCCACACTCCACCGGCCATGGATTGAGGCCACCGGCTGTGTTTTGTTTCCATCGGCCAAATGTTTGGCCGACCGGCACTCTAGATGGTCGACCGGCCATATATTTTGGTCAAATTGCGTTTTTGGCTGGCCGACCACTGTTCATTTACTTTTGCAGATATTTTTATACCAGCTATGCTAGCTGGCATATACTTTGCTCCCCTCCATACACGTGTATAGAGGGATCTCCCTCTTGACTAGCTTGTTTGGAAAGCTTTACAAGAGGGATTGTCTATAAGAGGGAGCCTCTTCTCCCTCCATTAGGGTTACAAAAAAATTTCAGAGGAGCTCTGAGATTAGGGTTTGAGTTTGTATCTATTCCATCTCTATATATCTCTCTCTCTTTGCCTTGTGTGTGTGTTTACTCTTACTATTGCACACAAACACCTAGTCCTACACCTTCTCTTGGTTGCTACGGGACCAAAAGGATGTTCTTGGTGTTTTTGGGTGGTTTTGAGCTTGAAGAAGCTGCTGGAGCATCATTCTTGAAGAGGGTCTACAAGGGTAACAATCTTACCCCTTTTTTTCCCATTTTTGCATAGCTTTTTCACCTATCTTGAAACTATTTTTAGACTTTGTGTATAACATATAAAAGTCTTGTTTTTTCCTGGTCTAAATAGTTGTTTAAGAGTGTTTTAAGCTTTGGGGTTGTTTGACCCCTCTTAGGGCTTGTTTGGCCCCATTTTTTGCCATTTTGGTTGAGCTCCGGGACCACTTTGTTTGGGCCTCCTCACCACTGAAATCCCTTAAGATTTCAGTGGTGAGGATGGTGCCTTGAGCTCCTAAGAAGGAGAGGGCCACCCCCTCTCCTTGTTGTCTTCAATAATGGCCATTTAAGCCTCATTAGAGAGCACCTTGTTTAAGTGTATGTTGACCATGCCTTAACTATTTTTTATGCTTATCTTGCCATGATATAGCATTGTTGTGAGTTGGTTTAGGTACACCATGCTTTCTTAGCATACATGTCTTGTAATGCCATGAATTGCCTTAACATGCCTTGTGCTTTGAGCCTTGTTTCTAGCATGTTTTTGGCTTAGCTTTGTGAATCTTTCAGGCTTGTTTTAGCATGCTAAAGGTCTGTTTTGGTCATTTGGGTTGTCCATGCTTTGCTTTGTATAGCTACCATGTAACCTCTCTTGTATGCCTTAAACATTGACCCCTCTAGCATGCCATCCTTGCATCATTTCAGTGGTTTGGAACCACTTGTCATGTCATTTCAGTCTTCATGATATGCTCGTATGCTTGCATTTGATGCCCCTTTCATGCTTTAAAAGGTTGGTGTTTCTTGCTCCATGTTTGTGCCATTATGTATGCCTCTAGGATTGGATCAAGAACAAATTTTGTTTTGCACAAATGTGGAGAATGGCAAGGCACTCTGATCACAAAACGATTTTATTTTTTGAAATTCAGA